ATGCAGCGTACAGACATCGCAGCTGTAGACAGGGCTGTCGAGAATCGCGCGGGCCCCGGGAATCGGGAATCGGGCCCCTGGCTGTAGGACGGATCGGGAGCAATGGACGCATCGAAGCTGTGGGCGGTCGAGCAGAGCGTTCTGTGAGAGCGACCAGTAGACTTATAGAACGTCACGCCGCCAAAAAATTTAAAAATCGGATACCCACCCTTCTTTCGGGGTGGTTCTCTTCTCTAATCCTTTCTGATACATTCTGTCTTCTTCCTCTGCTTCTTTTAACTCCTAGTACCACAAGTTCTTCTTCCGCTTCTTTTTCTCTGCCGCTTTCCCGCTCTTTTATTCTGTATTGCATCTTTTCTCTATACTCCTACTTGTATTGCAATGAGGAGTTAGCATATGCAACCCACATTTCATCACTATCGAACCACCGACCCCGGGCATCGTAGCATATCCCATTATTACTCGGGTCAGGTATATATATATACAGTTGGCTTTAAAAAACTATATATACTCATAATGTTAAATATACCTACATAGAACTGCTGAAAATTAGTTAAAAATTAAAACCGTAAAATTTAAAGTTTCAAAACTTCATTATATCTAAAATCTGACTAATTTTGCAGAAGCGCCTTTCATATGTTGGTTAGCTCATTTTATTTAATTTCATTATTATTTCAACTGTCGCTGTATTGCTTTCCAGCAAATTTAGTAACTCAAGAAGTAAGTCAATTATATTAATGCCAAAGACTGTTTCTCTGAGTTTTGTTTTGTTCAAGGCTTTTAATACAGGCGATGCAATAATCACCTCCAATTGTTACAATCACCTCAAGTTTGCTAAGCTTGTTATTCAAGACATTGTTCAACGAGCAAGAAAAAAAGTTGTATTTTCTGCTGGTGGATTAGTAGAAATTAATCGTGTTGCATTTACTATGGAACATTCGATAATATTACTAATTTGAACTTAATTATATTATCTTACATCATCTGTATTTTCCAAATATTCAAGTGGACCTTATCTTGTTAATGCGTAATATTGAAACTAGAGTCTGACCGAAACTGGTTTTCAGCCGAAACCGAAATTTCGGTCCAGGCCTCAGTTTCGGCCGAAACCGAAACCGAAACTGTAACTTACATAAAAATATGTTTAATTTAAGTTTCAAAATTCAACGATTTCAGGAATGGTACCATAAAATTATTTACACTGGGCAGTATTAAGTAAAGCAAAGTGAAGTAATTGAAGATAGATTGGAAATTTGTTGTTTTGAGAATTTTTAGAACATATGATTGGTTGAGGATTCCCTTAAACCTCTATCGTGTGTCACTTCAAAATGAAACTACTATAATAAAATTCACGAATACTGAGTTTCGGTGCAGAGAAAGTTTCGGGCAATTTTTGGCCGAAAACTGGCTGAAACCGAAACCGAAATTTCGGTCGGTCTGTAATTGAAACAATAATGACCTAGTTTAAATATTACATCTATATTGGTTGATATAGATACAATTCTAAAATTATACAATACTAAAATTTATTGACTTGTCCAATCCAATTTTTTACGATTAAATAAATAAACTTTTGCCACATGTATAACTTTTGTAGTTGCACAGTCAATTCGTATATTAAGAATCGCCAATTATATTTATTGCCATATAAGATTACTTGTAGTGTGAGTTTCTAGTTTTCAAAATGCAGGTAATTGCAATTATTGTCAATGAATTAATGATAATTGTAAATATTTTATGAAACAATTTTCTACAAAACTCCTACTATAATTGAATTCAATTCTTTTGCTGAAACTAATTTAATTACAGTCTAACTATACAGTTTTTTATAAATTGACACAACTAAATTATATGCTCAGCATAATGTTGTATTTTTGGTACGAAAGATGTACATGTCTGACCTTCACATTCATAAAATTTAAATTACATGCACTTGTGGACCCAAGTGTCGTTTTTCTGTAATTGTTTAATTAAGTACTACTTGAGTACAAACAATTATCTGAGACACGTAGCGTAAAGTTTTCTGTTACCTAGTTAACATTTCTTTCAAATGAACTAGCAAACCAACAATTTTTCAAATGCTCTTTGATATCTGAAGAGATTAACAAAAATCAAGAATGTAATACGTTTTTCTTTAAAGGGAATGATGATATAATACATGTAGAAGGAGTTAAAAAGAAACTTGTGTTTATACTTGATTGCTTGAAGTAATCAAGAAAAAATACGTGAGTCTTTTAATATGGGTAGACTCAATGGTATTGATTCCTTTCATTTATGCCTAACTTATACTCCTATTCCAAAACATCTAACTCGAGATAACTCTAACTTAATCATATTGTGTAAACAAAATGACTTGAATCTAAAACATGTATATAGTGATCATGTGGGTAGTGATATGACGTTTGAACAGTTAACAAAATAGGTTATTTTTGCTGGTAAAACAATTTTGATTTTTTGCTAATAAACGAAGATAGTCCTGATGTTTGTTACACTTTCACGCAAAACTACTTAACCGATCATCATGAAAAATTTGCACATATTCTTAGTGGTCCTGAATGTGGTTATAGGCTACTTTTATTGCTTTTTATTGCGAAATTGTTGAGCCACAATACCTCTGCATCTGGCTATTGGACTACTTTAACGCTGGCCCGTAGCATTCCAGCAATGAAGCTCAAACCTAAGTACTAAAGTACCATCACACTGTATTATCACACTGTATTACCGACAGCTGTGTCAACATCAAATCCAATTGACTACACTATGGGAGACTGTACACTATACTCCATAGACTATAAAGTACTTTCAGCCATTATAAACTTCCTGCCATTCTAGTACTTCATTGTTACTTCAGTGTCTACAGACGGTAATGGAAGCAACTTCATTATTTTAGATATTCGCGAGCGAAGCCGCGGGTTAAAGCTAGTTTCTTGGATACTAAAATCTCACAAATTTTTGGACACAAACTTCTTTTATTTCTGGTAATGAGGGAAGGCGGTCAGCAAGGACCTTCAAGTTACTTCAGCAGTTGAGCAGAAAAATCAAATTATTAAACTAAAAATAAATATTTAAAAAACTCCCTTCTTCCTTTTCTTGGCCGCTGGTCGCTTTCGAAGCATAGGCAATTTGCCTGTTTATCATCCAGATTTGGCTGAAAAACTATAAGCATATACACATTCCCATTGGGTAGTAGCTAGCCGTTCCCAAAGCCGTGTTGGTGTGGTTATCGGAGCGTGCAGAGGTGTACGTATATCTCAGCCTGGATTTGAACCGTGGACCTATTGAGTGGTAAGAAACGACCGTACCACTCGGCTGCTACGCCATAAAAAGAAACTTATGGCATTAAAAGTAAACAAGTTAGAAAATGATCGCGAATTTAAAGAAATATATGCCCCGTTGATTAATTCGTTATAGTATATTAAGAAACAAGTGGCTAAACGAGGGAATTGCAGATGAGATTTGATTGAGAGCGAGCGTATCGAGCAGCCCTCTAGACAAGGTGGGGGACTCTCGACGCCGGAGCGGACCACCCCTATGCCAAGGACCAAGTTTTCCCGGGAAATTCCCGCTTGCACCTAATGGCGTACATCGACACCAACGGCAGTGCGAGACCAACCAGCCCGCGCGGCGAGACTCCCAGCTCAAGACAGGGACGGACGGCCGGTATATTTCCGTTGCCGAAGCTACGGTCATGTCGCCCGCTATTGCCATTCGCCTCCAGTTACCGCCGAAGTTAAACAGGAGACCTCCGGAAACCAAGCACAGTTCTACGTCGCCCTACCAGGAGAGGAGTTTGGCAAGTAAGTGAAGAAAGCCTCCAGAAGGGGGAAACCCCACAGTGACGGCATACGTCGATCCGGGGAATACCGTGTGCACGATCAGAGAGAACATCACGTTGGCAAACCGACTGAAGGTGCTGCAATACGTGACCTCTTTGCGAGGTTTTTGTCAAAAGACGGGTGAGACCAAGGGTATGGTGTGCGAGCAGGTACAGCTACTCGTCGTGGAAGATGCAGCCCAGCCTTTTGACCTGGTGCTGGGGAAAACGCTCTTAGATCTACCAGACGTTGCTTTCGTGAAAAATCGGTTTGGTGCTAAGGGTGGGCTACAGCTCCCAGGAAACGTTTCTGGCCAAGAAACTATAGAAAACTATTACAAATGATACAAATTTGTCTGTCAAAACAAATAAATCTTTTGAAAGACAACGTTATGTAATTGTTTGCTTCCAAACCAACAAAAAAATAATCACAAACTAGATGTAGCTAACTAACACTTTTCGATCACTGTAACATTAGAAACATAAAAGTATGCTTAAACTCAAAGCCTTATCCATATGATATCATCAATTTAGACTTTGAAAATAACAATAACAATTAATTTATCACTTTTTTACCAAGTTACTATAACTTGGAAGTTAAATCATCAACCTTTAGTTTAATTAACATATGCAGATTAAAAAAAAACATGCATTTTATGTCTTTAACGTAACAAAACAAAATTAAAACGTTAAATTGTCAACAATTAATTTGCAAATTGAAATGAAATTCAATCAAAATTTTCCAACATATCTAAACTTTTTCTTAAAGCGACGTGTAAATAATTGTGTCTACCGGTTCGTAGTAAAATCTTGTGTCAAGACTTTCTGATTTTGATAAACTGGATTTACTGTCCTGAACCAAATATTGTGTCGAACTCTTTGTTGTTGCTAAACTGATTGTTGTTGATGAACTGATCGTTGTTGATGAACTGTTGTGCCATGACAGATTGTTGTTTTCACCAAACTCCTATCTTTTGCTAATTGTTATAGGGGTAATGAATAAGAGTAGGAGTTTGGCGGTTGTTGATTGGTGTATGTGTAAGGGTAGGAATTGGCCGTTGTTGATTGGTGGAGTATTGGAAAGGTGGTTTAGCGCTGACCGATCAATTTGACAACTTGGAAGTTTGGAACTTTGGAACGTCTGGTTATGTTAGGAATTTCAAGAAATAACGGATGAAACACTAAATCTATTTACAATTTTTTTTTATTTTTTTTTAAATTTTAATATTCAACTGCCAGTGTTAAAAGTTCAGATGAAAATCATTCATTCTTTGATATTCCTTGAACCTCGGTTACCGCCTTGTTGACGGCGTCAATATAGATATGTGGGGACTACCATCTCACCATCTGTGCTAGTGAATTCTTCTTCTGCATTGCATGCAATTTTCCCAAGAATTCCTAAGATCTTATTTTTACTACTTTTCTATTAGTTTACAGCCTTTTATTTTCCAACTTTCTTGCAGTCATAAACTACCCTTAAAAAACCTAATCCCCGTGTCGGACGGTTTGGCACGCGGTATCTAGCGTGAGAACAGTATAATTCTGGCCATGAAACAATTTGACAAACACTAAAGAAATATAGCAATAATAATAATGAAATGAAAAGAAATTAAGAAAAGAATTAAAGAACGTACACATTGTTACAAGAATATGCTTGCGGTAGAAATGAATCATCCCAAGAAACCTACACAATACCTTTGCGATCTCCAACAATTTGAACTTCTTAAGTGAGGAAGTGCGATCTTTCTTATGATTAATGTCGTCAGCAATTCTTACTCCAATAAATGCGCCTGGTAAACCTCAAATACTGTCTCATCTGCATTTGTCACGCCATTCTCACTTAACCGCAACAAAGTATTTCGTTGAATTGGAAAATGCAAAAAATACACACTGCTTGCCCTTTTCACGATGAATTGCATCTTAGGTATATTTTTCTCTTTTTTATGTTGAGCCAAACATTTATTCATATTTAGCTTGACGTACTTATTGTCAGCATGCTAGATATTTTCTTTATTTGAGACTGAACTTCATTTGTAAGCAAAACCGCGCAATTTAAATTCGCCATGGAAACTAGGGCTTCAAGCACGATACCGACATTTTTCTCGTCTCGTCTCGGTTCTCGCCCCGGTAAAGCAAACGATACCGAGACGAGGCGTGTATCAATAATTTTCATGATACCGAGACCACAGTCCGAGTCTCGTTTTTGGTCTCGTTAAATTTTTTTATGAAGATGTTATTAGAAAAATGAGATAAGGTCCAATATTTATAATCTGGTGACTATCTGTGAAATATTTTATTGCACGTATATTCAAAAGAACAACTCAGTAACCGAACATAATATTGACTTTTTGAAAGTTTTATGAAAACTTTGTTTTTATTTATACCTGGAGAATTTCTATTTGTTTTTTTTTCTGTATTTGTTGTGGCAAAGATACGAACTACAATAAGTAATTAAGTAACAAATGGTTAAACGAGGGCATTACAGATAAAATTGAGAGCGAGCGTAGCGAGCGGTCAATCAATCGAGTCTTTAACAACGTTTAGCCACGAGGTGCTTACGCTGTTTTTTCTACTTCCACTCTAATTCCACGATGCGGTTTTTGTATTTCAACTTTTGTATTTTAAATCATCAAAATTTGCTCGCACACTTATTCAAACCGTAAGGTTATAAGTGCCATGCCGCGCGCCGGCCCAAGTGACGTTCGGTTCGTATCGTAGCGCAGTACCGGTTGCTTTGATGTGTTTGACTGTCGTGGAGTGGCATTAATGGCATGCGCAGGCGCTTGCTGCGTCACGTGCATAATGCAAGTATATAATGAATATTATGTTCGGCTTGGCCGTCCGTATATAAAGTACCACTTTTAGTGTCTAAAAACTGAGAAAAACAAGCGCTTTATAGGTGGAAGTAGAAAAAGATATTGTATACATTTGGGGAAATGTATATAATAGATCTTGTCAAATAAGATTTATGCTATAGTGCGTGACGAAAAATTGTTGACAACATTTTGTAGATTATAGAAATTCCCTAAAGAGTTATTCATCCGTTTAACGAAAGGTTTTGAACTGTGAAGATCTGCAATTTTTTTTTACCCTGAACACCATTAATTGTGAAAAAGAGCAAACAAAATATAAGAAAATGGGCTGCACACAATACCGAGATTTTTCTCGTGTCGTCTCGGTCTCGTATCGCTCGTACTTTTGATAGTCTCGTCCAGTCTTGTCTCGTGTGAAGCCCTAATGGAAACGCAAGTAATTTGATTTTGTCTAGAAAAACATCTTAAAATAATGTTTAGTAAAGTTGAATTTGGAGTTAGTTTCTCAGTTTTTCTTGATAGTAGGCACTGACATGTTTAATTTTGGTTTTTGTTTTTCCATGGCAACCGCGACATAGTCATAAAGATAAATAGCTGTATTGTGTGTATTCTGTATTCAGCCATCGTTGCAATATATCGGTATTTTTAACTTGAGAGTGCGTTTTTCCTGATTTGAAAAACCTCAAAAAACAAGCTTAAAAATTATTTAATTCCTGGTCGAGCAATTTCATGGAAAGTATGGAATTTGAGATCGAAGATACCAATGATATATTTACCCTGACACCGGGCATACTCATCGATATAAATTCCGATAATCAATCCTCAGAAATACCTAGGGAATCAAATAATTTGGTAAGATTGCCACTAGATAGTCGTTATTTTATTCGAGACACCGATCCGCTTCTATCGTCAACGGCCACCGATGATCCATATTACCTGGGCAGTTTGTCACCATTCCTCCCGGTAATGCATAAAACCACTTTTGAATCTATGGATTATGCCCCAACTTTCGGCAATTTATTGGATGGTCTGGACGCTGGCACTAATGATGAAAGTGAAGCGAATATTGTACCCTGCCAAATTAACCCACAATCCAATGTTAGTCCAACCTCAATAGATAATATAGCAAGTGCAATAGAAACTCGTAATTTTAATTTGCCGGACAACGACGAACAGTATAAGCGAAACCTTGCAAGAATGCATGATGATATAGATAATTTTTTGGATTACTTTATTGGGCCCAATGGGGGTCTCCAAAACAAGCAAGCTCAAACCCATCAAGCCAAGGGGAAAGTATCAAATAAAAATACCAATGTTAAATGATATTTTCGATTTTTTTTCTGATTAAATACTTATGTAAATACATAGAACATGCTAAATGTTGTTCTATGAAATAAAATATTGTAAACTAAATAAATCTCTCCAATTACCATCTTTGCTACCCCTCCCACTTTTCGAGTGGGTTAGTCGCTATCCCATTTAGTATAGAATATGTTTATTACGAAACTTCTATTTGCCTGTTTTGTTTTTTCTTAAATGTCACTCGCGAAGCTGCAACCGGGTTGGCTGATGATGGCAGAACTTCGCAGTGGTGGTGACGTACGGTGCAGCACAAGTTCATTTAAAGTTCCATATGCCGTGAGCCAACCTCCCATTATGCAGCTGCTGCCCATGCTCAAAATGGCTCCGGCGGGATGCGCTAAATATTTATAACCTTACATTTACAGTAGTGTGCGCGTATTTCAAAATTTAGGCCTTAAAATAATAAGTGCTTGGCAGTAAATTTATTGTATGTTTAACCTCTCACTGGTTTTGGTTAAAGTATCGTTTTCAAAGCGATATTGTGAGGGTAGCGTACAATAAGTGTTACGACGTAGCTTGTTATTAATACTCACCCTCTCGTGAAACTATTGTTTTTCAATAAAATTCAAAAGTTCAAATACAAAAACCTCAACGTGGAATTGGAAGTAGAAAAAATCCTTGTTACGCTCGATCTCAATCAATATCGTGATACAATTTTGTTTAACTCACTTGATTCTTAATATGCTATTAGAAGTGAGGACCATACAATATCTGCATGCTAAAAAATCATGTGTGCAGTTCACACGTGGTAGAAGTGAAATCTTCAGAACATTGCACTGCGAGAGAATGAGTAGAAAATAGTATCAGGAGTAGGATAATTATAGGGTTTATTTATTATACAATTTTATTAAAAATAATTAGTACTCAAAATAACAAAAATCTCTTCTTTGACCTGTTGCAGGATATTATATACAAGTTAAGCAGAGACAGGGAAGTGTACAGAACAGCAAAATAATCGGTCGATTTGGTGAAAGTGTGAAAAATGATAACGGGGCCGATTAAGAGTACGGCACGTACTTAAAACTACCCTGCAGACTTGTACGTAACAATAAAGCCGACCCTGCACAAGTAAAACACTACCATAACGTCATGTATACAACCTTGAAAAAAAACACACACTACGAGTCCGACGGCTGTGCCAGCCCCCATTCTTCGTATCATAACAAGTAACGCGCCTTGTTGGCGACATTTCACACGCATTGATTCTCTTTCTTCGAATGAGAAACGATAAGGGCGCCTTTGTACTGTTTTTGTTGAGTCTATAAGTCTGATCTCAAGTGTGCCCGTGTCGTTAATGGCATTTGGTCACAAAGTATCTTGTGAGAAACTACTTATCACGCTCTCGAGTTTGCTTTTGACAAGCAAGGAAATATGGGTTTCTAAAATCCTCTAATTTAAAAGTTGTGTTTTCTGAACACACGAGTAAACGTTTTCTCAAATGCTCTTTTTACCTTCATACGACCCATTGAATCAAATAAATACAAATCAGGCAAGACGTGAAACTGATCTCAGCAAAATGACTTTGAATTTCAACTTGACATAATATTTGCCTCAAAACGAACTAACTTTACTTGTACCAATTCCAATCAGTGTTACGGAATTATAAAATTTCTTTCCGTGCAATACTCTCTTTTACTAATGAGCATTCTGCTCCCGAATCAAATGAAAGGTAATGAATCAATATTATGTTTAAAGGTATTCATACAGGTAAATCAACTGCACAGGCGTTGACGGTCTTTATGGAACCCTCATTCTTTCTGCAGCGGTTGGCGAAGTGTCCGGTCTCGCCGCATTTGAAGCATCTCACGTTGTTTGACGCTCCCGATGTGGATGGTTGAGGGGTGAATTACTGGTCTTGCCTTTGCTTCGTAGGGGTGTCGGTATTTGTCGATGTCCAATTTTGCTGCAGTTGAAACATTTCGTCAGCTTGGGTTGGAATGATGGATAAGCATGTTGTGGGATGCTGATATACTCAAGTAAAACAAGATGAGCAAACAAATATTCTTCCACACTGTCAATGCAATTTGGTCGCTGGGTTCGTAGATTTTGGACTTGATGACAAATATCCACTTGAGCTTCCTGCTGTGCTTGTTGCATACAATGAACCAGTATAAATATAACCGGCGCATACATTATGCTTCAAGCAAATGTATGCAGAATTCAATATAGGACGATGGGCAAGTCTTTATCGTCTGAAGTAATTGCAGAAATGAATCTATACTGCGGGATATATTTGCGTCTCCATCTCTTTATCCCAATTCTTGTGAAGTGCAAGAAACGAGTCTGTCTTTACAATATTAGCTTGCTGAACTCGGAAAATGGTGTATCTTGTAATTTTTAAATGGGTATACTCTATAGCTGTTACTTTGATATTTGAGAGGAGAATTGATTCAATTGAGCGATGATCAGCCAATATTGAAAGCTTTTCCTTGAAAAATTTACAGTTAATTTTAAACCATATAAAGTGTTAAAGTATGCATACATTTTTATATCGTCTGTGCTCTCGCAAAAAGCACAATGTTTTCTATTTCTTCTATGATCATCTCCAAAACAGGTGTGACAGAAACCGTAGGGAGCTGAACAGAAAATATACGCCTTGTCATAAAAAGGACTCTTTAAATTATAAATTGGTAAAATTAAAGGCATAAGTAATTCCTATTAATAAAAACTTACAGCTATGTAAGTAGCATCAAAACACTCTACTGCTGAATATACATGACGCAATTTATCGATTTTCTGGGTTAATGCAACGATTTCATTAAACTCCGTGGTCAACTCGTACCCATTTGCCACGCTTTTTACATATTCGTGAAATTCATGTACAGCTACCAGTCTGGAACATTTCTCATTTTTATCTTCACTAGAATTGAATTCTTCCATTGCAAGTAGTTGGTCATCTGGTGTATTGGAATGTCGAAGATAGGGTGTGTTAGTGTCTTCTCTAGGACGAATATTCCTCCAGTACACGAGTATAAGAATAATATTTATTATTATTGTTGTTAAAAGAAAGAAAAATTGGAACATGATTGAAAACTCGGTATGTTCCAATTTGCTTTGTTTTACCAGATACCAATTAGATGATATTTGGTCATCTAACTCATTGACAATCAATATGCCTATTTCACAAAGCTCTCCAGTACAGTTAAATCCTGGTATTTGAGATAGGTTTATATTTACGTCTGTTCCGACAATGTCTTTGTATTCACTTTTCTGGTAGTGCCCAACAATCCAACATCTCTGTTTCTCTTTAATTGGAACAAGTGACTTATGATTTTCCCCTAATTTTTCTCTGCAATCGCTGGTATCGTCCAATTTATTTGCAGCAAGGAAAATTATGTACAAATTGCTAATTGCTTCATCATTTTGAATATTCGACATTGAAATAGTTATGGAATTGTTGTCATTTTGTCTTAGAAAGGGCTCAGTGAGAGATGGTTTTAAAATTGGACAAACATATTGTTGAGTAAGCAAAGCAGAAGTAAATTTTGAGTTAATTGTTTGTATAGAAACAGTTGTCTGACGAGTTTCAAATGTACACTTAAATGGCGTCTGAAAAAAAATTTTAAAAAATTATTTAATTATTTTTTTGAAGAATTTAGATAACTATATTATGATTATTAACTACTTTAATAGTATATGTCTTATTTTCTGGTACTTCGTGATAATATTGATGTCCATTCACAATGATTTCAAATTTTAAAAGTGGTCCATTTGTTTTATTGGGATGTTGCCATTGCAACTCCAGAAATCGAGACTCATTCCAATTTGCAACCAAATTTACTGGAGGTTGCGGGACTAATTAAAATAAGATTTTATCAACAATGCTTTTGCATATATTACACAAATTACCTCCAATCAATGTGGTTTCGTTTAAAATTGTTTCTAATCCATATTCTGATATACCCTGATTTTGCCCAGCAATTGATATTATGTAATTTTTGTTGGGTATAAGATTAGTTAATGTAGTGCAATACATATTTGTCCATATTTTACATGGACTCAAATAATTAATATAAGTTTGGGGCGCGCTATGTTCTTCTGAAGTGTAATAATATTTTATTACAAATGAATCCAGAATTCCAGTTGGTGGATAAGGTGGACTCCGCCTCAGTGACAAACTTGTTTCTGATAAGCTATATACTTCCGCAAATGGAATTTGATTTGGTACTAAAATCAGCATTAAATTCAATACTTAAATTTTTTTAAGCTAAGGCAAAGTGAACATACCACCTGATAATGTCATCCAGACAGTTGACCAAGATTTGTTATAATCATTAATTATATCCATTTTATTACCAAATATATTTACTTCTAACTTGTAATTTGTATATGGAAGTACACTATCAAGTGTAGTAATATCATTATATTGCATGTGCTTTGTAATATTAACCCATTGCATGTGCTTTGTAATATTAACCCATTGTCCTTCACACCATTCACTCATACAAATAGCATATGCATTGAGATAGATTGGACCATTCCAATGTTCACAATCAACAACTAAACCTATCTGAATTGAAGTTTCTAAAGTGATAATCTTACGATTAAACGTGTTTATGTCAATTGTTTCAGCTACATCAGTAAATCCTAAAATATTCTCAATGTCTCCTTGACCTTTCTTGGTAACTGCTGATACTGTTATATTATAAGTTGAATATGGTTTAAGATCACTTAATTCAATTGCAAGGGATGTTATATTTGTTGATTGAATATTTGATATTCTATTTGCTATTTTACAGCCTCTTTTATCAAAAAACTGAAATTACAATTTGATAATTAGACAATATTAAATTAGGGTATAAGCCAGTTACCATCCATGTGACCACATAATTGGTAATAATACCCAAAACAGGTGTTGGTGCTTTCCAGACAACATTAAGTTTACTTGATGATGAGGAAATAATTGTTAAGTTTCTAACTTTGTTTGGAGCTAAACAGAATTGTACCATCATATTTTAATTCTTTATCGTAGATTGTAATTGTGCAATTTGTGACACAATTAGTTTGAGTTGATGCTATCCTTGTTAACACTGGTAGATTTCTTTTCTTACAGAAGGGTACAACATATTTTAAATCATTGCAACCAAAGTAGCATTCACCATTTACATGATTGCAAAAGTTTGAAATGCAGTTTCCGCAATCAAATGCACATTTGCAACCATATTTTCCAATGTCGCATACTGAAACAATATAAAACAGTAATGTTTGCATATCTATTCCTCATTTTAAATTATTCTTATTACCCATGTCACAGTATTTTCCAGTGTATCCTGTTTGACAAAAACATGATTCCTCTTTACACGTTATTTTGTGTGGACATTCTGTAGTGTTGTAGAATTCAGTACATATATTACAACGATTCTGATTATCACTCGAGAAAACACCAGTACTTTCGTTTGGTAATGAAATTTTAAGTTGTGTGGTTTTGTGTCGAAGAGATGAACATTTGATAATATTTCTTGAATTAAAGTTGTACTCTAATGATGAAAAATGAAATTTGTCTGTTTTACTTCCTTTGCAGTCTAAATGCCGAACAATATTTCTGATTGCTACCTGATTATTAGGGCTAAACGAAATGCGTACATAATATTCAGCATCTTCATATACGTCTGAATAAAATGTTTTATAATTCCATTGTGTGTTTTGATCATTCTTATAGTATTCAGTTTTGATCAGGTCGTGCGACACATCATAGAGTTGTATTGTAATATCATCGGTGAATTTTGCAAAAAACGAAATACACAAGTGACTAGAATCCATATAAAACCAATTACTAGCAATAAAATTATTAATTGGTTTTTGAGGTTCATAATATGTATCTAAAATGCAACATTTTTGATTAAATATATATGCATTAAAATTTGTTTACATACAATCATGATATTTCCACATCGCATTTTCGGTATTTGAATGTATGAACAAGTTTGTTAAATTGTTAAGTTCTTCAGCATTTTTAGTAGAGTATGATAATAAAGGTTCGTTATTGATTATTACTTGTAATTGTCGATGTATAAAACGAACTGAAATTTGACTCCATTCCTCGGTTGACAATAATGGTGTATGTTCAATCTAAAAATGTCCTATATAAACTTCATTAGGGTTATTTAATATAGCATACCTTGTTTACAATATTTTCACATCCTCTTAATCGATCTTCAGAGTTTGTAGGAGATGCACCTCTCTTACATCGTCTTAAAACACTTCCTTTTCCATTCCACCCACCCACAATAAAAATAATGCATTCACCTCTTTTTATCAATGGGTTTGAACATAAGTAAATTTGTGCACTTGATTTTCCCAAAAATGAAAAATTTATTTCAAAACTATTTTTGATATTAATTTCTCCTAATTTTTCAAAGTTATAATTTTGTGTAAGTTGTGCCGATCTAGTCATAGTAATTGGAAACACTGAAGAAAATTTATTATTAATGTGTTATAAAATATATTAAATTAAAATATTACTTTCCCAAGCATAATCCATCACTGGACCATACGCTGCGTTGTAGGCTACTTCTATATCCCACCCATATTTTTTCCAATTAAAATCAAGATAGCGCAGGGTTTCATTACCTTTAAAGCAAGATTATTATTTGTGTTTAATAATATTTTTTGTAGTTCAACCATATAAGTGCCACGTTTTCACGGTATTGTGACCCGAAAAGTGACATTTTAGTCACGGACTTTAGTCATGGGTAAAGCTAATGTCTGCGTATTCGATTTCGGTGCATCACGTTGCCATGCGGCAAACTTACCCCAATGAATTCATAAAATTACATTTTTTAGTAGTATGGAAAGTCTGTTTATAGTGGAAATAAAGTGCAAGTAGATTGAATCGTGAGCTCAGGTGAATTTTAATATACTACTAGCTGACCTATCCTACACTTACTAAGTCTTATTCAAACAAACAAATCAATCGGGCAACTTCAACCAACACGTACAAACACACGCACGTCTATGCTTAGGGGGAAGCTACGAATCGCACACTCCTCTTTGTGATAAATAGAAAAAGATAATAGAAAACATTATATTTGTATGCTCTTTTTCTCCCGTAGGCTAAACCATATAAGCGAATATGTTTGTTTCCTTTTAGTGTCGTTTAGTGTTCTTTAAAGGAGTTTTCACTTCAAAAAGTATCCTAGTAACCTTCTCCAAACAAAAACATCAACCGGTCAACTTCAACCCACACGTACCCACGTCTATGCTACGAAGCATCGCACAAAGAGAGGAGACGGGGGTAATAGAAAACTTTTGTATTTGCGTTCTCTTTATTCTCCTCCCGCAAGATAATCCATATACGCAAAATATGTTTGTCTCTTTTAGTGTCGTTTTAGTGCCCTTTTAGAAAGTTTTCTTACTTCAAAAGTATCCCATCTTCTCCTGGCCATAAATCACCTCTCCACCCAATTTTAGCTAAATTGGATTATCCGTTCTTTTTAGTTATACTGGAGTTAACTACAACACGATCTTTCTTTTATATATATATTTATGACTTTCGCCCCTCAGCTTCTGCACGTGGAAGTAAAATGTATCAAAATCCAAGGTTATGTTTCAAAGATTTAAGTATACAAAGGGACAGACAGAGAAAGCGACTTTCCCTTCTCCAAACAAAAACATCAACTGTCAATCTCAACCTAATAATGTCTATGCTTAGGAGCCAAGAAGCACGCAACAAAGAGTGAGACGGGATACAGAAAACTTTGTAAAAATAACAACAGACAAATAATTAGCAAATAAAATTAAAATTAAGGACTATAATTTGAGATTTAAACTATCCTATCTCTCTAATTCTATCTGTCCGTACTATTGTGTGCGGAATTTTGCTTATAATCGGTTAAGTGGTTTAGAGTCCATTGAGGACAAAAACATTGTGATAATGAGATTTATATATATTAAGATAAGTACTAAAATACCTGAAATAGGGTCCAATCATGCTGGTACAGTGATCCATGTAAATTGCGTCGCTGTAATCAATACTGACAATAATGCCGCAATGAACTCTCGCATTCTTTCCAAACCTGGTGCAACACAAAGCAAAATAACAATTGTGTCTTTCCATTCACCTTATAAGAAAGTTAAAGTATGAAATATGAGTAATATGAACGATCTCATTTTGAATACTAATTTGCTTCTAAAGCACAGGCATAGGTTATCACCTTTACTTTTTTATCTAATCAATCATTGATAACTTGTACATTCCAGGAAAATATCACTTTAATCAATATTTCGCAGTATTTTTATTTATTTATATAATATTTTTTCAAAGAATGCCTTATCAAACGTATATTATTCTTGTGCAAACAACAAATATTGATATTTATCCAATTCAAATAAATAATAAAATTCAAGTAAATAACACATCTATATTCGTTGGCAAATATCTCCCTTCCGCTTTTTGTTCTCTTTATTCAATGCTTTATAAAAAGGGTTACAGTGATCGGATTTAGTTCAAATATGCGCCGTTTTGTTCGATAATCTGTTTCTATCTAGACGGCAACTTACAATACCTCTGTGGTATTCCCATGATTTTATCGGTATTTCTGCCAACACAGGTCTTCCGCCGGCTGGCTTATCCATGGTGTCGTTTTCACTGGCCTTGAATCGTCACCGAAACCATTCCTCCGTGATTTGAAGTGAGAGAGCACCATCCCCAAAAACAACTACTAATCTCACGGAACGTTTTCAGCGGATTTGCCTTTAACGAAGGAAAACTTTAAAATAGCGCGAATTTTGGCGTTAGTGAACCTTATGTTTACACGTCTATAACTGCTGGAACGCAATATCCAAACTAATCATGCATAGCGTCAAGTTTTGTAGGTCATGTCTTAGTACATAGCTTTTGTACATAGCCGCGAAAATCAAAAGACAAAAAGTGGCGGAAGGGAGATATTTCTTTCCAACCTTAGAAGTTAACGCGGTTAATGGCGCTGTTTCTAAGCTGAACATTTTTCAAGTGCACAATCAACGTTTTACGTAACACTGATTTGGGTTGTGGTTTCCTATAAAAATGTAACGTTTCACGCATCGGGCCAATGCTTAGAACGCTACGAATCGCGTAATGTCTATGCTTTAGAAGCTATGAATTGCACAAAGTGGGCAGACGGAGATAATTAGAAATATTTTCATTATATTTGTGTGCTCTTTTTCTCCCGTATTCTAAACCATATAAGCGAATATGTTTGTTTCCTTTAGTGTCGTTTAGTATTCTAAAAGAGTTTTACTCAAAAAGTATCCTAGTAACCTTCCAAACAAAAATATTTAAATCGTCAATCCCAACTCACACGTACACACATACACACGTCTATGCTACGAAGCATCGCACAAAGAGGTGACGCGGATAATAAAAAACTTTGTATTTGCGTTCTCTTATTCTCCCGCAAGATAATCC